CGGGCAATTACATCAAAGAGAAACAGACCTCACCCAAAGGCACTTGGCTGTCTTTTCACACCAGCTAAACTTAACCTCAATACCATTCACATAAATCTGAAACCCATCTCAAAGCAGCTCAAATCAAAAGGGTTGAAGTCTCAGCTCCAAGTCTCTGCCCCCCTGTGATGAGTTACGTGTTCATGTCCTCCAGGTTCCTGGGAAGTGCACTGTAAGTGTACTAACCAGAAGTTCAAGACCCTGGAAGAAAGCCCTGGGAAGCAACACCTGAAAAACCAGTCACTGGAACCCTACAGACAGGCTGCTAGAGGCCAGTGGACTCCCCAATCCATGGCCAATTGTCACCCTTCAACCTGGAGCAAAATTCACTTGTGGCTGAACTTTCAGTCAAACAACAGAGAGGCCTGTAGGGTGCACAATATTGCCAGGGAAGGCCCGATCCTTAGGAAAACCATCCATGTAAGGTCAAAAGGGCAGCGTTTGCCAGGCAGCCAGCAGAGCTGTCCTGCTTACCCAAAGGCTGTGAGTCGGCCAGTTCGAATCCAACAGCAGCAATATGGCAGAAAGCCGGGGAGTCTCCTGTTGATGGAAGGCTGCCGTGAGCTGGAACCAAATCCACCAAGCGTGAATCCGAGTTTCTTCAAAGTTCAGAAGACAGGAAGGAATAGGATAGAAGGGTTAATGTAAGTGAGAATCACAAATGGGTAGAGTGGTTATAGGGTAGGTATTGCAATTAAAGTCACAAAACAAAAGGTGTGTGAATATTTGAACGGAAAAACAACTTACCTTGTAAACTTTCACTCACATCACAACATAGGAGGCAAACAAAACCTGCCCCCATGGCGCCCAGCGTTTGAATCCGACTGAGGGCAGCTGCTTCTGGTTAAACACCCCCACGCAGCCTCAGAGTGGATGGAGCACCTTTTCTCACCCCTTGGCTTTTGGGCCCAGGTATGGACCTGGCTTTGCCAATGGGATGCAGCCATGGCCTTTGCTTTGGCCAATGGGATGTGAGTGGCTACGCAATGAGCAAAGGAGGCAAGGTGCTGGAGCCGCGGGCTTGCTGTCCTTCCTGCCCTCTGAAATAGCTTTGGAAGGGCGCACCTGGGCAACCTGCCGGCGGTCCAAGGATGAGAAACACGTGGAGCGAAGCTGGACGCCTTAGCTACGCTGAGCTGCGTGAACAGAAATTTCTTCACAGCTTAGGGGGGTGAAAGTGAGGATTCAAGGTGCCAGCTCCAGGGGGGGCAGCTTGCTTTCTCTCTGTGTGGCTTGTGGGGGTTCCCAGCCTCTGGAAGCTTCTGTTCCGGGGATCTTCTGGTGGCGTGTCATCTCTCTTTGTCCAGCTTAGTTTGCCTGATCTGCTCTTCTGTGCCTTTAAGGAGACTGATTCATGGCACACCCTACATCAATTCTGCTCCATTAACATGACAAAAACAACATGTTTCTAAATGGAATTCTAACCACCCGGGTTGTTGTTTTTGTCAGGTGTTGTCTAGACAGTTCTGAGACAAGCCAGGCACAACCGAACAAGGCCCTGGCCACTCCTGGCCGGCCCTGGCACATCTCCACAGCTGATGCTGAGGGCACCCACTGCGAACACCCTGTAGCACTTCATTGGGTCAGCACACTGAGGGTCTGGCTCGTTTCTGGCTGCTTCTCCACCAAGCATGATGGTCTTCTCCAAGGACTGGCGCCTTCTGACAACGTGTGCAAAATATGTGAGGTGAAGTGTCCCCACCTTTGCTTCTAAGAAGCGCTTTCCAGGATGGGTAACTCTCGGCACACTGGGAGGGGCCCTGGTGGAGGAAGCACTGGCCTGCTGGTCTAAAGATCAATGATTGATTGGGTTGGTGGCTCTGCGAGAGAAAGGGCCAGGCCTCGTCTAGATTACAACCTGGAACCCTGTGGGCAGAGCTGCTCTGTCCAGTACTAAGTGTCCGAACCAACTCGACAGCTCCAGTAACCGTCCCCATCCAGCAGTCCAGACGCTTCTAGCCACGCATAAATGTCTCTTCCGGCAGAGTCTCAAGGCCTTCAGCCCACCATACAGGTCGCTGTGTGTCTGCAGAGTGAGGTCCACAGCCTCAAGGGTCAGGGGACCCCCTCCAGAGCCTAGTGTCCAGAGCAGGAGGCCAGCATGCTGAGGAGAAGGCTCCTAATTGTAGAAGACCCACTTCCATGCCTTACCCCTCAGCTTCCTGGGGAGGGGAGCCCACCCTTCCACCTGAGAGCAGCACTGTGTGGAGGGGCGCTGCCCCCCTTACTAAAATCAGGGCAGCGCCCCAAGGAGACACCAGGCAGTGGAGCTCAGCTTCCCCCTGCTGAGAACCTTGGGATACAAGAAAAGCAGGTCAAGGTGCTGGTTTGACCAGCGCTCCTTGGAGAGAGTGGTGGCTATCTGCTCTGACAGCCTTGGACGGGACAGGGCAGCTGTCCTCTGTCCTGCAGGTCTCCTGAGTCACAGCGACTGGACAGCAGAGGTCTGGGCTGGGCTTACCCGGCTGCCCGCACCAACCTAGCAGCAGCCTAGTCTCTGTCTATCATCTGCAGCGAAGCATTTACAGTCAATAAACGGGCTAATTAATTCTCTTCAAAGACCTCTCAATTATTCATCCAGGGCTACAGAGAACATGAGAGGGCTGCATCTCAGCTCAGGGGCTGGGTTGCCTGGGATCCAGCCCCCTGGGCCTGCAGTCTTTGGGGTCCCTGGGGCCCCAGACCTTCAGGTGCATCCTCCCCGTCTCTCATTGCAACAGCCAGCATCTTACTTCTTGGGGGGTGGGGGACCACGGGCCCCCTCGGAGGCCCAGTGGCCAGGGGACACGAAGCTGGAAGCTCCCTTGGCCCCAGAACAGGCAGGGTCGCTGACCTGGTGCTAGGTGGCGCTGGGAGGGGGAGAAAGTGAGGGAAGGGAGACTGGGTCTCCTGACTCACTATCTGGGGCAGCCTCTGGCCATGCAGGATCACCTATGCGGGGGCCAGAGCCCCAGGTGCAGCCCAAAGTCACCTGGAGAGTGGCCCTGGCATCTCAGTGAGGCTCCCCCTAGGTCCCAGGCCTGAGCTCACTCCCTCCTCTCCAGCTTCCCCAGCGGCCCAGAGGAGCGCAGAGCCTGGTGGCAGAGGGCAGCCAACGCTGGCCAAGCCCCTCTTCCCCCTGCCCGGCCCTCTGCCGCTCACTAACCCCGACTCCCCCGACAGCAGCCACTGGCATGTGCAGGGTTAACTCCCAGCCGCTCCCAAGCCCGCAGAGTGGGGGGCGGGGGGGCCAGGGGCGTGTCTTTCGGGAAGTATGGATTTCTGCAGTGGTTTTACTGGAATAGCTGTAGCTGAAGGTGGGAGGAGGTCACCATGGCAACTTCAGGCTGTGGGAACAGGTTGGCCGGTGAGAACCCATTCTTCCAGGGACCCCAAGGGCCTGGCAGGCATGTGGCACCCCCGGACCCCACAGCTGTCTCCCGGGGGGGGCTCCTCATCGCCTCGGGAGGCTTAGGGACCCTCCCCCAACCCTGGCGCGACCCATCTCTTTTCTGTTCTCACAGACACTGCTCCCAAGGGTCAGTCTCTGACCCAGAGCCCCGCCCTCTTGGCAGTGCCCCTGGCACAAGGGGTTAATCTGCTCACTGTCCCCCAGGTCACCAGCTGGAAGAGCCTTACTGCAGGTGAGCTTTGGCTCTGTGGCCTGAGGTGCAATTCAGGGGGTTCGTGAAGAGACCCCAGCTCTGCTCAGCCCTGCCCAGGGTCCCGAGGGTTCACCACACTCGGCCCCCAATGGGGAAGAAGATGCTCACCCCACCCCCAGCTCCTCGCTTGCCCAGTCTCTCTCTCTACACACACACACACACACACACACACACACACAC